CTTGCATTCTAATGTGATTCTACTTGATATGTGCACAGGATCAAGGTCTTGATGTTATATCAGAAGGATTAGATACACTTCAAAATTTGGCTCTAGATATGAATGAGGTGATTATTGTTCATCTAAGACAATTTGGTGATGCAAGAAACCATCAGTGTTTAATCCTTTTTTAATTATCTTCAGGAGTTGGATAGGCAAGTCCCCCTGATGGATGAAATTGGAACCAAGGTGAAATTTTTGTTTTTTTATGTTGTATCCATATCCCTTTAGTTTGACTTTTAATGCAAACAAAGCTGGAATTATGTCTACAAATGCATTCCTTAATGGATCTCTTATGTTTTTATAGGTGGACAAGACAACAGTTGATCTTAGAAAGACTAATGTTAAACTCAAGAAAACAGTCACCCAGGTAATTCATAAGAATTCATTGGACTACTCTATATAGTTTCCTTCTATATAATTTATACTAATTCATTAGAAAATTCTTTGCCCAAACTTACTAAAAGGCTTGCTGCAATTTTTTACTTTCTCACAGCTGCGTTCAAGTTGGAACTTCTGCATTGACATCATTCTTTTATGTGTTTTACTTGGAGTTGCTTCCTATTTATACAAGTAAGCTCAATATATTGTCAATTTGACCTTGATGAGGTTAAAAAAACGATTTCAGAGGCATGAAATGAAAGAAATTTGTTGCTATAAGTTCTTTGAATTAATTTCAAAGTCAAAGCAATCATAGTGGCACTTACCCTTTTTGTTTTAGTTCTATTATTTAATTTGTTGTTGAGAAAACTTCTTAAAAACTTCTTAATGATAATATGTATTGTAGTTGCTTGTTTCTAATAATTAATGGCATTCATTTGCTCCTCCATGTAATGCCTTTCCTAGTTTGGTGAGGGGATAGGGGTATCATAAAGCGATCTGATTATTCTTTACATATATATATATATAGGGGTTAGTGCTTGTCAGCTTTACCTTCGACACATTAGGAGGAAAAAGACAAAAAACACCCTAAGGTATGCTTTAAAAATAGGATATTTTAATCTTTTTTAATAGATGTTTATTAAAATGACGTAATTTTAGAATAATATTCCTCATAATTTTTAGGAGATAAGGCGGATAAACACTATTTTTATATATATATATATATATATATTTGGCCAAACCCTTTATATTGTTTGGGAAATTATTTTTGTATAACTTTTTTATCCTACATTTTTGTACAACCTGATTTGTTATTAAAATGATTGGTTCTTTTAATTCATGTAGAACCTGTGATATTGAATGTATCTACTCATTTAATAACATGCAGAAGTTGTATGAAAAGATGATATAAAAAAGTTGTTCCAATAACACCACCCATATTGTTTATTCCGGCTACTTTATGTAATCTATTTTATACAGAATATATATTAATTTGCTAATGAAATCTTGCATTGCTGTTTCAGTATACTGAAATAAATTGCTTTTAAAGGCCTCTTCTACAGCTTGTTTGAACGTAATCTCATAAGGTATAAAATTCTTTTTCCATTACGTGTGGGGACTCTTCTCTGTCTGTTTAATATTCGTTCCATTTCATTTATTATAAGGTCAAACCTCTATTTTGGTTCCTAAACTATTGTACAGACCTCCGATTTGGTCTCTAAACTAAAGAAATCCTTAATTTGGTCTTTGAACTATTGTACAGACCCTGAGTTGGTTCCTAAACTATTGTACGGACTCCCGAGTTAGTCCCTAAACTATTGTACTGATGCCCAATTTGGTCCATACTGTTTACCAATTTAACCTCAACTTAGTCCTTCTGTTAAATAATAGCTCAGAGACCAAATTGAGGCGAACTTGTAAACAGTAAGGACGGAATTGGGGGTCCATACAATAGTTCAAGGATCAACTTAGGCCAAATTATAAATAGTGGGGACCAAATCGGGGTCCGTACAATAGTTTAAGGATAAAATCAAGGATTTTTTTAGTTCAGGAACCAAATTGGGGTCCGTACAATAGTTCAAGGACCAAAATGAGAATTTAACCTTATTATAATTACCCTGGGCTGGGAGAATCTTTTTTATTGGTCACTTCATCGACTATTTTAACTTTTAAGATTTTTTTTTTTGAACAGTGAAAAAAAAGAGTAATAATTTATTAAAAACCAAGTCCAAAGGTTACCTTAACTCTTACAAACCCTTCACAAACAAACCCTACTCCACGACCAGAAAATTATCTAACATCAGCTAACAAACATATGACTACTTCAAACAAACAAAAAATGACCCATTTGAACTTTTTAGATTTGGGTGATTTTGGATTTATGGAGCTTTCTTATCATCTATAAACTACTGGTCTCCAAATTAAATTGGCCCTTTCTCATTGAGTTTGATGGATCTCCTACCCGATTGTCATTGTTCTAAATTTTGATTCAGCTTGATAAGAATTCAACATTTGAATTGTCATTTCGAATACGACATATTCAAGGGCACAAATAACGCATTTTCTAGCTCTTTTTCTTCTCATGACATAGTTTTCTTCGTACGCAGGTCTGTTGGAGACATATGAACGTAACTGCCTGCAGTGCGGAAAGACATAACAAAGCGAACATGAAATCCAACATTCAGAGACATCTCACATTCTCATCATGGGTTGGAAACTCTCGATCGTTTGGAAAACATTCAGACAATATTAATGTAGTAGTAAAAATGATGTTAAAAGTTAAAACTCCAAATTCTTTTGTGGGCTCTTTTCTCTTTATGGTAAGGCTTTTTGAGCTTGATTTGACTATATAACCAAGCCCAAATGCATTTTCCTTTTTATTTTTTGGGTGTGTCTAGCCCAAAGGCTTTTTCTTCTCATTTTTCCTCCCTTTTTTTTTTTTTAATGGAAGGCAAATTTAATTAATATAATAATAATAAAATATCTAGTAATGATCTACCAGTATTGGAAAACAGACAGCTCAATCATTGTCACCAATTCCGTTCAATATTCGCTTGGATTTCGAAATCTATAAGTGGCCTAATACCAAAATGAGTAGTTGTGAAGAAATCTTGAAAACCCAACACTACTATAAGCTCAAATATATCTAAAAAAAATATTAAGTGAGAACTGCTCTTATTGAAGCGGTCTTACAAAAGAAAACATAATCTTTTATAATAGTAGATCTTAATTTCTGTCCACCTTTACTGATACCAACTCCCATAAAAGCTAATTGAATCCAAATTTGCACCCATCTTCAACAGCTCTTGATTTTTCGGGAACGTATCAACTCTGTAGAATTTCAAAATCAGCCAATTAAATCTCGAAAAATCCCAAGCCAGGCCATTTCACCGGCAACCACCACGTATGTGTCATTGCTCCCTATAACATCAGAGCACTTGCCGGCTGCCACCCTCCTTCCAAACCAATTGACAGCATATCCAGCTTTTGAAACCCCACCGGCGTCATCTCAATAGCTACAAGGTTGATGCCGTTGCTCATCCGAAAGCATCCCATCGCCTCCCAACCTTGAAGGCTCACAAGGCTTGCTTCCATTGACACCCACTCCCCATGCAAGCATTAATTAAATTGCAGAAAACCAAGGCCAATGGCTTCAATTGATATTCGGTCACTGATTCCTTCTTTCTCACCAGCAACCCCCATCTGCTTCAAAGCCTCTATCGAGGGATGGGAATAGCCACCTTCAGCCAAGCTACTAACATGAGAAATCAATAACAACTACAAAGAAAACATACACTATACAAAAAACCCAATTGCAACGCAAAAAATGACCTTTTTTATACATGGTAACGATGGCCAAACGGACACTCTCATTTTGAGAGAAAACCCTAGTGCAGCTGTTTACAGTGATTCTTAAAATTCTTTCTCTTTTTCTTCTTCTATTTTTTATTGATTAAAAAGAAAAAGGAATAATGATATTGACAATTACGGATAAATTTTGAAACTAAAATTTAAGACGGGGTTAGGATAACCATTAATTATGATGTGAGGTTTATCTGAATTATCATCATCAACAATTAACAAAATATATCTTCTTAAATTCTAGTTTCAAGAATTATTATTCAAATAAAATATCATTTTCTGAAAAGAATACTTAATTTTCCGAGTGCAAAAGAACAAAACGACAACGGCTAGCTATTTGCCTATTGATTTCTCCCTTATAAAAACATTCACAGTCAGTACGTAATGAATAGGCATTTGCATGTGACACACCATGATTTTTTTAACACTAGTTTTTCTTACATTCTTTCTACAGGATAATTTTAAATACACAGTAGTTTTTCAAACCCAAGAAAACGCTCAGACTAAAAAAGAAACTAAGTTGTTTGTTGGTCATACATATATATATATTAATTATACATGCATCTGCCTGTGATTCATATTTCTAGATTCGAAAGTTTTAGAATTCAAAACTCATTCTTTAAAATTTCCACGGAACTTTTTAGCTTTCCATAGAGATACATAATGGGAAGAGAAATTAATTAAACACAATCGGAATTAGTCCAACTTGACTGCACCTAATTTCATTTTCATAAAGCTAATTCAACCCTAAAAAACAAATTAAACACGTGTGAGGTATTGAAAGACTTTACCTAACCGAGTGAAGAAAACGCAGAGGGAAGGGAAAAAGAGGGGGGTCGAGAAGGACCGAGTCAACTCGGACAAGATTCTAGTAGTAGTACTGGTAAATCTGTTTGGTGGTGGGGGGAGGGGGGGAGATGGGAGCGAATTTCAAGAGAAAATGTGAAGTGAGAGAGTGTTGGTGTGTTTGTGTGTCATCTCTTGTCGACAAATCAAGCGGTACCAGTCATCTCTTGTCTTTGTTTACATCAACTTTCCCTTCTGACACCCCTTTCCGTGGGCGTGGGTCCGACACTCAGCCCCCTCACGGTCACGGACGCCCTTCTTCTCTTCCTCTTTCCTGGCTAAATTTGCTTAATTAATTTCTCACCTTTTTTTTTTTTCCTTCTTTCCATCATTCTTATTAGGAATTTTTTATTCAATAAGATACAAGATAAATATGGATATATTGTATTATTTTTTTAATTAATTTATATAAAAATAAAAATTTATTTTAATTTTATTAATCATTTAATTAAAATATTTCATAAAACATTGGTATTAGAAATAATGTTATTGATTTTATAATTTTTTATGTAAATTAATAATAAATTTATTTTTAACTTGTAATTTAGAAAAACCCTTATTATTAATATTATTAAGAATTTTATAACATTTGCCTAATTTTAAAGAATAGGTTAAGATTTTATTTATTAAATTTTTATTACTAATTTTTATATAAAAAATAAAAATTAACTTTAATTTTATCAATTGTTGAATTAAAATATTTTATGTGACATATGTGTTAAAAATAAATTTTATTTTCGTAATTTTTTATATAAATTAATAATTAGAAAATTATGTTATAAATATACCCTTAAAACGTACTTTAAAAAAAAACCTTTATTATTATTATTACTATTAGAGAGTTTGCATGTTTTTCAAATTGGATTTCAAAATATTTTTTTTTAATAAAAATATAGTTTAGGAGTTAAAATGATCAAAGTACTATTAATAAATTAATATAGAATTTTATTTAAAATATTTTAATAAATTTTTTGTCCAAATTACTTTTAGTTTAAAGAAAGGAAAAGAGAGAAAAAATTATTATAATTAATAAATTATTTAATTAGCTAACAATTTAATTTGATTAGATATTATGGCTATTTTCTCTTCTATTTCTTTTATTTCTCTCAAATGAAATAATCAAATATTATTGTGCAATTTGAAGTGTGGTTATGACTACTTACTTATTTGTTAAAATCACTAAAATTGTATTTCATTTTATTAATATTTGTATTTTTAAATAGATAATTATGATATTTAAAAATATCAATTTATATATTAATTTTAATTTATTAAATAATAAATATTAGTTATTTTATTAAATATTAACTATTTTTATAATTAAATCCAATAAAATAATATTTTTAACATAATTTTAATGACTTTAACAAAAAATAATAATAATAACCACAACCACAATTTACTATTTGTCCCCAAAAATTTTTTTTTAATGTTATTATTGTTCCCAATTAATAAATAATTTATTTAACCTATACTTTAAAATACAAGTTAAAGTGTAATAAATATTTTTTATAATTAATTTATATAAAAAATTATAAAAATTAACATATATTTTAATACTATGAATACATAAATAATTTTAATTAATTAATTAAACTAAAATTAATATTTATATTTTAAATAAAAATCAATTATCAAAAATTGAGTTTTTTTTATCTATCATATACCCTAAGACAACAAGATAAGAGTGCAATTATTACACTTTTTTTTAATCATCAATACACATAGTAAAACTAAAAATTGATATTAATTTTTTTATATAAATTAATACATAATTAATAATAAAAAATATAACAATTACATCTTTTTTTATACCTTAAAAATATAAAATATAAAAACTTTTAAAAATATATTTATTACACCCTTAACTTAACCTATACATTAAGGAAAACTCATTAATAAATTTATAAAGATTGTGGTCCAGCCGAGTCTCTAGATGACTGACTTAGAGGGAAAGCCGTGTAAGATAAGGAGAGAGAGGAGAGACTTAAAATTAAGAGAGAGAAGAGAAAATATTCTTTCCAGCTCGCCTTCTTTTTGGAGTTTTCTTCTAGCTTTGGCTTTGGGCAAGGCGAAGAAACAAACATTTTTATTTACAGAAAATTAAGAAAGAGCTTCAAATCCCAGGTTTCTCTTTTTTCTTTCCTTTCTTTTTTATTTTTCTTTTTGGTAAGATAGATAAAAATTTAAATTCAGACACAAAATTTTTTTTTTGTTTGCGGCGAAGAAGAAGGCTAGCTAGCTTTTGCTTTATGTCGGTTTTTTTAGGTACTGTTTCAGCTTTGTGAGTTAATTACTTGTTCTAGTTTTAGCTAAGGGAAATAATTCAAACAGAAAACCCCACTACAACTGTATACTTCCCATTTCAGTAGCAGATATGATGTCTCGAGATGGCCTTTCTGTTCCATCTACAATCACTTGTGGCTTTGTTCAACCTCAAGAACCCAATTATTCAAACCCTAATCCTAACCCTACTTCTTCTTCAAATCCGCCCAAGAGAAAGAGAAATTTACCGGGAACACCAGGCAAGTTTTTTCATTTTTATCAGCAAATAATTCAGTTAGTATATATGCTTAGTTATTATATATACATGCTTCAAGCTACTTGATCTCAGAATTCATTTTTAAATAAGATAAGAATAAGTTATTATTACTTAGCTTAACTAGCTAGCGTAGAAGTTTGAATCTATAACCTTAAATGGATTCTATGTGCTTCTATTCATCAGATCCAAATGCAGAAGTCATCGCTCTGTCTCCAAAATCTCTCATGGCAACTAACAGATTCATGTGTGAAATCTGCAACAAGGGTTTCCAAAGGGACCAGAACTTGCAGCTCCATAGAAGAGGCCACAACCTACCCTGGAAGCTGAAGCAAAGAACAAACAAGGAAGTTCAGAAAAAGGTGTACATCTGCCCGGAACCGACCTGCGTCCACCATGACCCTTCAAGAGCCCTCGGCGACCTCACCGGAATAAAGAAGCATTACAGCAGAAAACATGGTGAGAAGAAGTGGAAGTGTGATAAATGTTCGAAGAAGTATGCCGTTCAATCGGATTGGAAAGCTCACAGCAAGATTTGTGGCACCAAAGAGTACAGATGTGACTGTGGCACGCTCTTCTCCAGGTAACATATAAGTTATATAGCAACTAATCCAAACATCTCTTTTTGCTTTATACGATTAGTTTCTTGAGGAATTAAATGCTAATAACAAAGAATATCATGGAATTTTCTTTTTGAATTTAATGCAGTCTAAACTTTGAAGAACAAATCTAGACATTCATAAATTAATTGCTTCTTTTTTTTTTTTTTTTTTTTTTTTTTTTTTTTTTTTTTTTTTTTTTTTTTTTTGGGGGGGGGGGGGCGAATAGAAAGGATAGCTTCATTACTCACAGAGCATTTTGTGATGCATTGGCTGAAGAAAGTGCAAGGTTTACTACGGTTTCAACTGCAATTAATCCACAAGTAGCTGTTGCTATGAATCAACTTTCTTCAGTTCTAAGGGCAGATTTTACAGGGTCGGATCAGTTTGCAGGGAATCTCACAGGAGATGGGCAGAAGTCGAGGCTGCCTCTGTGGCTTGACCAAACCAATTTCTCTCATCTTAACCCAATTGGGAATATTGCCAGTAATTCCAATGCTAATTTCTTAGCACCAAATTCTGCAAACAACTTATCTGAGTTGGGAATTGCACCGATTAATAACATGTTTGGAATGGTACCATCCAAGTACCCAGAAGCATCATCATCATCATTTACTAGTCCCAATCTCTCGACATCAACATTCCCATTGCCCATGTTGCCACTAGGAATACCAAAGGAAGAGGAAGAAGACGACAAAGGAAATTTGTCCCAAACCATGTCTTGTTTACATTCAAATAACAACAGTAATAGAAGCAGCCAGGTGCCTCACATGTCAGCCACTGCACTTCTACAAAAAGCAGCACAGATGGGATCTAACCCATCAATCAATAAAGGTTCTTCGTCTACTTCTGGGTTCGGTTTAATGAGTTCATCATCTGTTTCCAACATTATCTTCAAGCAACCAAACAACTTAAACGAGTTGGTTAGGTCCCAGCTGGTGTCATCCGCACGTGACTCCTACCCTGACCGGGCATTAGCATCATCACAGCTGCATCAGTCTGAAAACTTGAAAGAGTTGGTGAGTTCATTGTCTTCTTCATCTCATGGTTCTTTGTTGGGGGATTTGAACTCAGCCAGCTCGCTTGTGCATGCCAACAAGAAATCATCCCAAGGTGTTGAAAGAGAATTGACCAGGGATTTCCTGGGAATGGGAGGTGAGTCAAGCAGACCGTTTTCACAACAAGAGCTTGCAAAGTTTGCTTCCATGGCGTCAGCTGCAACGGACTTCAACCAGTACGGTGCTCATCATCGGCCTCGCTGATGATCTAAGCTACAGGATGCCAAGGTAATTAAAATGATCGAAGTAGGGTTTATATATATATATATATATGTTTACTTACGTACAATAATGTGAGGAGAGATTTTTTACAACCAGGTAAGTTAATTAATTTGGACAGAGTTGTAGATTCGAAAGGAGGCAATCCTAATCGAGGCAACTCAGTTGAGCAGCTAGGGAGAAGAGGCGATGGGGGGGACGGGGGCCACTGCATGGTTCGATATATCGTGAGACATGTAACAGAAGATTGGGCCCTCTCCTTCATGCATAATATTGTTTCGTTGTATTTTATTTTTAACCTTTGTAATATTTTAGTTTTTTCTTTGACGTTTGATAAAACGTACTTTGTGCTACAGACATGGTCGTGAACATTTGTTGTCGCGGCCCGTGACACTGTCTTTTTCGGAGATATCTTTAAATAAAAGGGTCATTGGTCTTTAGCTAGGTCCAATCGAGGATATGATCATCTAACTAGCATATATAATTATGATAGTGTAATAATATATTAAACTGGAGATCACAAAAATAGTATAGCTAGGTTCAAAATTTTTTTTTCAATTTTTGTTATTAGAAAGTGAAATTTTTTATTTTTTAAAAATACACTTTACGGGTTAAATTTAGTTATTTTAATTTCATTTTTATATAAGATTTGATTAAATAATTTTATATAATAAATAAATAAAAATTAATTTTTTTTCTTTATATATGTAGTTGTTATTAAGTATTTTCAATTATTAAATCAAAAAAATTTAGTTAAAATTTATGCAAATGTCAAATTGAGATAATTAAATCTAGCCAAAATGAGTAATAGATGCCATATTTGTAAAAATTATTTTAAATATTTTTTTGATAAAATGTAAAATTTATTTTAAAATGTAAATTATCTTAAATATTACTCCATTCCTTTATTTTTATAATAGATCTTGTTTCTTATTTGAAGCATTCAAATTTACTTGTCCTCTTTTCCTTTTTAGGATATTATTAATGTATTTATTTTTATTTTATTTTATTTTAAAAGATAATTAAAATATGCATTAAATAATAAGTTTTATCTAAATGGTACTTAATTAAAGATAAATATAAAATATTATTAATAAATGAGTTTGTCTACCATATGCTTTAAAGGTACAGAATAAAATATCATTATTAAGTAATAATCATAATTTTTTTTTCTTGAAAAGAGTCAAATTTTATATTAAAAAAATAAATTGTGACTTTTAATTTGAAATTAATCATTTAAAATTTAACACATGAACATTTATAATTAAAATAAAAAATTAAATTTATCATTTTCAAGATAAAAAATAATAATTATTACATAATTAATATTCTTTATTCTCTATCCCTAAGGCACAGATAAATTAACTCTTAATAAATTACTATTTTTTATTTTAATAAATAAAAAAAATAAAGTTATTAAAAATAAATAGAGAGAAAGTATTTTATCGTTTATTAATCAACCCATTTACATCATCACAGATATGGATCAGTTCTTTCACAAAAGCAAAAAAAAAAAAAAAATCTCTATGGAACATCACAAGTCACAACAGGAAATCTCAGAGTCCAACCAAAGCAAGCAATAACTTGATGAGTTTCTAAAATGATTCTCGAACTAACCAATAACTTCTGCAAGAATGTCAGTCCAATTTTATTTGTACTAATAAAATTCCCTCATGAAAAGGACCCTTCATCGGCAACCATAATATCCCTCGTAATCGTTATTCTTTTCATTACAAAATTTAATGATTACGCGCTGCATGTTTTTCCATTTTTCTTAAAGTAGTAGACAAAATTTGTAGTCTAATTTTAATCCTCTAACTTTAAATATTTACTTTATTGTAAGCCCCATCCAAAAGAACTACTTATAATTTTTTATTTTAAATAGATTATTGTTTTTTAATGTTAATACATATTTTTTTATCTTAATTTTATTATTATCTATTTATCATTTTATTATAAAAAATTTTACTTTATTGTAAGCCCCATCCAAAAGAACTACTTATAATTTTTTATTTTAAATAGATTATTGTTTTTTAATGTTAATACATATTTTTTTAATCTTAATTTTATTATTATCTATTTAATTTAATTAGTCATTTTATTATAAAAATTTTTTCTTTATATTTTATTTATTATTTAGAGATAATATAAATATATAAATAAATAAATAAATTATTTTTAAATTCTTAATTAAAAAACAAAATTAATAAATTTCTATATCAAAAAATGATGTATTATTAATATATTCTAAATATAAGAAGTAATATTATTTTGTGACTTCTTTTTATTACATATGTTTCATTATCAACGTTATTTGAACCTATTTTTACATAATTTTAGTCATTAATTTTGTTAATATAACATTGGTATATAACTATTTTCTTTTTCTACGTGAACTTCTAATTAATTCACTAAAGTAGAGCGGCAAGTTTTAATATTAATTTCTTTTAATTTCCCCCATTTTTGGGGAAGGGGAAAAAAACAACTGTCGTACAATAGAAACATATATAATGACATTTCTTCATAAATCAATTACAAAATTGACAATTTCACATAAAGCCGATGGAACTTGCCCCCCCAAAAAAGTAAAACAAAACCAATGGAATATTAACGATAACCAAGAGAAGAAATCATTAAAAAAAAAAAAAAAAAAAGAGGAAAAAATAGAGACACTTGCCCAATGTAAATACAACACCGAAACTCACAAAAAAACAGAGGTGAAAATGAGAAATCAATCGCCGCCGTTCAATCCAGCTAATTGAAAATCACAGTGCTCTTAATCAATGGACCCCACCTCATACCATCTCATCAAAACCCCCCATTATTATTATTAATTTTTTTTTATTGTCGTGAAGAAAAATTTGCCACCATCGCAATCATCATCACTCCAAGGAAAACCACATTCTGCATGGCGAAATTCACAGCGGTGCCGGAGCTCTTTTCAGTGTTAGAGACCGGAGCCGCAATAGAAGACTTCTTCTTCGGCTTTGTTGGAGCTGGTGCCGGAGCAGGAGGCGCCTTAGGGCCGAAGATTTTTTCAGGAAGGAGCACCTGGTCTACTTGGTAAACAGCCAGCTGACCGTCTGTGTAGACAGTACCGGCGACACTCGTGTTCGTAAGGCCGGTTGAGATATTAACCGAACTCCCAGTTGTCGTGACGTTCAGCGGAAAATTATATGGCTCGGCGCTTCCGGCCTCAGTCCTTAACGGGTTGCTAACCGTTTGGAACTGGGTACTCGTGAGGTACGAGGAGATGACATGGAACTGTACCAGCTCGGACTTGTCTTCATCGGTGAGTTGGTTTAGGGTTCCGGATTTAAGGCTAGAGAAGGCATTGTCAGAGGGAGCAAAAATGGTCATTTCATTGTTTGAATTATTGAGCTGGATATTGAGGTTGCTATCCTCTCCAGTGGCTTTCAAAAGGCGGATGAAGATGCTGAATTGCCCGCCTTTTTCAAGGATTCGGGTGACATTCGTTGGGCCCGATGGTGCAGGAGGTAGCGCTAGCGCTGGCGCTGGCGCCTGGGCTAGGGTTTGGGAGGAATGGATGAGGAGAAAGAGAAGGAGAGAAGGGAAAGTTGTAAGGAGAAGTTGCTTCATCATCTTTGTTTGTAAGAAATAGCTAGGAATTAATTACTAATGTTGCACACAAAAGGAAGAGAAAGTGGGGGGTTTTATATTAAGGAAAGAAGATCCTTCAATTAGGTGAGGCAAAACTCTTATAGTTGTTAGGATCTCTAATATTAATTTTCTCTTTTCATGGAAGGTGGGGGAGTAGAAATGAATATGAATTATGATATGCTAGCTGCTGGAGGCTGGAGCAACTATAGATAGCTTAAAAAGGCAGAAAAAAACAGGAGACTCCAATTGTGGTCGGGCTAATAATGATAGGGATATAAATAAATATGATTGCTTGGGTTTTACTGAAGCATATATTTTGGGTAAAATATATGTTTGCTTTCCAACCGCCTTAATTAAGTCATTTCAAATTAGTAGGTATACAGCTAGCTATGGTGGGAATTGGGAAAGAGGCTTGTCTCCAACAAATGGCTAGTTTACTCGAAATTTTTTTAAAGTTGTGTACTTGGGCTTAATTATGGTTGTGATATGTATCATATATATTTCGAATTTTTTTATTTTATAATTTAAATTATATTAAATTGAAAGATAAAAAATTTTAAATAAAAAATAATTTTTATTATTAAGAGGTTTATTTTATTCAATAATTTATATTGAATGTTTTAAGTTTTAAATTAAAAAATAAAAAATATTTAATAAATACTTTAAATTTAGTTTAAAAGTGTTACTATATAACTGTGATTATAGGTTTTTTAATCTTTAATATCATAAAAATATATATAATATTTATTTTAATTAATATTTAATATATTTTTAAAATAATTAAAAAAAATTTAAAACTAAAACAATGGAAGAAGCATTTTCTTAATTTTGTGAAATAATATTATAAAAATAA